CCCCAAAACCCCAAAACCCCAAAACCCCAAAACCCCAAAACCCCAAAACCCCGTTTATATAAAATTAATTTGAAAGATAATTTTACTTTATTAATTACACTACTCATCTTCTTCGTTTGCAATAGAGGATTTTATCAGACTCAGCTTTGCATTTAGGGAATCAAATATCATATCAGTTATCTCTTCAGTGTCCTTGGCTGTACCACCACCATTGATCTTAATAAACCTCTGTTTTTGCTTGGCCGTTTCTTCGATAATAGATGCCTTCTCCTTCACGATATTATATTTCTCAGCTTTAGATAAAGATTGCGCTCTTAAGTCATCTTCCCAATTCCGTTGAAACGGAATAGGCTTTTTACCGGTCCTTTCAAATTCTTCCTGCAATTCTTTCTGAAAGTCTCTTAGGAAATTCTTCTTTTCAAATTCTTTCTGAGGAGCAGGAGTTGGTGGCTTCAAAGGATTCTTCCACTCCATAATCTTCTTCCTCTTCTTGGCTAGTTGTCTAAGTTCTTCCTTATCTGAATGAATGATTGGACTTGATCGCCTGACCTTAACTCTGGGGTCCATTGTTAAATCTTCCTTTATTCTCTCAATCTCTTGTGCTTTATTTACTTGAAACAACAGGGTGATACTTTTCCTTGATCAAGGAGTCGTATTCCTTCATCTGTTCTCTATAGGTCCTTTTACGTTCGGCTTCAGTGAACTCCTTCTCTTTATCATTGCACTCATTCTCGATAAATCTCTCCATATATTTCCCGTGGTAACGCTTATAGTTGTATTTTTCCTCATGTTCTCTAAATTTTTTCCATGAGTTCTTGCTTCTTTTTCTCGTTATTTTCCTGGATCATTTTAACGTACTTGTCCTGTTCCTCTTCTATCTCACGCATGTTGATCGGCTGGTGCAGATCCCGAAGGGAAGCAAGGATCTTTTTCTTCTTCAATAAGCCTTCTGACTCCAAAGTTTCATTGAAGTCTTTTTCCATTTTCTGATACCGTGGTTTTTCCTTAAGGTATCTTAGAACTTTGGAGTCCTGGGAGCTAACCCTGTGTATAGAGTTTTTGTTTAGCTTCTTTTTCTCCTCAAGTTCTTCACGGCGTTTTTCTAGCAGCATTTGCCGTTCCTCTTCCTTCTTCTGCTCTAATTCTTCTTGCTTATTTCTTTCGAAGTTCTTCCTTTTTCTTTAGCTCAAGCAGTCTGTTTTTCTTGCTGATTTTGAGATCTCTTTGAGTTTTAACTACCTTCTCTATTAGGTGTTGGCTCTGGCGTAGTTTTTCAATGTTGACAGCATCCATGAGCTTATTTCCGTTCAGTGTATACAGGTGTCTTCTCTCTGTATGTCTTGACTTGTTCTTCTTGGATTTGCTTGTCCTTGGCTAGAAGGTCTATCTTATCACTGCCTAGAGTATTCTCAAGACCTTTAAACCCATTAGAGAACCTGAAGTTATCAGGGTTGTTCTTTAGTTGGAGAAGGTTTGTCTTAATCTCCTCTTTCGCTTTGATAGTATCATTTGGCCTGACTAGTTTATTTAGAAGTTGGCCACTTGTAATTTGTGCATTCCATTTGAGAATCAGAGCTTTATGGTCATGTTCTCCTTCAGGGGCTGGGTAAAAGGTGTCCTCTTTGCCGATCCTCTCAGTCCATTTTTGATTCTGTTTCTCTGTTAAGTCAATGCAAACACTTTTGATATAAGGCGTTAGCTGAATGTCTTCATAAACTTTATCGAAATATTCTGTGTTCACCCTTTCACTAACATTCTTCGGAGTTTCTTGTGTGTTAGAGAGGAAAGTTACCTTTCTTCGGAGTCTCTTGGAATTCTTCCAAATTCTCTTTGAACTCTACCTTTTTCTTCTTGTCCTTATCCTTGCTAGCTATAAAAATAATGTAAGTTCCGAAAAGGACTATTAACTTTGCAGAATTTGAGAGAGAAATGAGAATGAAGAAGAAAATACTAATGAAGAGAAAATGAAACAGTAAGAAGAAAGTGAATTGTAGAATTAGCATACATTTTTCGCCTTTGTCAGATCTTTCTCCATCAGAAGCCTTGGAATCCTTCTCGCTCTTAGACTTTTTCTCTTTCTTCTCCTTTTTGTCTTTCTTTTCTTTTTTGTCTTTCTTGTCCTTTTTCTCCTTTTTATCCTTCTTCTCTTTCTTTTCTTTCTTATCTTTCTTCTCTTTCTTCTCCTTCTTATCTTTCTTGTCCTTCTTCTCCTTATCTCCCATACTCTATAAACTCCTCTAAATTATTTTTATCAACTTTAATTCTCATTTAGGGGTTTTGGGGTTTTGGGGTTTTGGGG